CTGATTTTGGGGCAGCAAAGCTGGTGGTATGCAAACAACTGTGGGAAAGGCCAGATGTTACTGCTTTGTGCTGTGCAGTTTTGAATGCAAAGTGGAATATCAAAATTGGGTTTGACCCCAAATTGAAGCTTTGTTGGAGGGAAAGCAAAGGAAACAAGAAGATGTTGTTGAAACTGGAAGCCCTAAAACTACTCCCATCATCTGGTTTTTCTGGACTTTGGAAAAGAAAACAGTTTATCTTTGGAATAAATAAAAGGGAGAGGAACAGGCTCGCAGCAGAAAGTCCCGTGTTCACTGCAGACAAGTTGGGTTGTGCTCCACCTCTTGCCCCTGCTTCCAAGAGGACCCCAGGTTATGTGTGATTTCTGAGCCTCTGTTTCCCCTTGGGAAAGCCCCACACCGTCCCGACAGTGGGAACCCCAGGCATTGCCAAGAAACATCTTTGAAACTCAAACCTGGCTTTGGAAAATAACTGGAAGACAAACCGGCTCTAAACAAACACCCAAGTTAATTCCGTGTCTTGCATTGTATGAGCCCAGTGAAATGAAACACAGTGCAGCCACAGGGACGGGCAAATGGATTCAGATGCTTTAAAAAGCCCTGAAATCTGCTGGCTTTGAGATGTCCTTTTACAATTACGGTTGGGATTTTTTTCTTGTTTTCTTTCTAATTGTTCCTGGGAATTTAATTCTACAATTACTTTGCTGCTTCTGCTGAGGAGACAATGTGCTTCAGCCACAAAGCCTTTGAAGGCTGAATTGCAGATCACATCCAGTGCTGAGCCACTTGGATGCAGACGCCCCCTTGCTGGGAGAATTTGCTGTGATGTGGAGGGCTGTCTGTCTGTCTGTTTGTCCAGGCTGCTGAGGGGCTCCCGGCCAGAGGTGAAGCTTGTCATGCAGCAAATGAAAAAAGGATGGAACACGTTGGGGTTTGGAGGTGAAGTTGCTAACATCAAGCTTGCCTCTTCCTAATGACGGAGGAGCTGGGAGCCCCAGGAATCTGCATCCCATATCCCAGGGCTCAGTGGATGCGCTCTGCCTCCCCCATGTCCTGGCTTGGAGGCCAGCGGGTGAAGTCAGAGCGAGGCCGCCAAGTCTCGGCACCATCCGGTTTCACTTCCCGGTTGTTGCATGACTCCCTGCGCTACTCTCAGGTGCTCCTAGGCTGTGGGGTCAACCCAGGGCTGCTGCTGCGGTGTTTCCAAAGGGGAGATAGGTGCTGTGTGAGAGGGAAGAGCCATAGGGACTGTGTCCTCACTGCTGTCCTGCAAGAGCTAATGGCCTCCAGCACGGGAGGAATTGTTCTGTGACAGGAGTTCTGCTGCTCTTTTCAGGGGTTCTGGGTCTGGGCTGGCTGTGGCATCCCTTGGTGCTCTTGGTCCAGCCACTGAGCTGCAAGGATTTGCCCTTCAGCTTCCCCTACTTGCACCATTCCAGACCATCTCTGGCCAAGGCCCCTGGATCCAGGCAAGGAACTGTTTCAACTAACAGATGGTGTTGGTGGGTTTTCCATTAGGGTGGGCAGTGGAAGAGTGATCTGTTCTGCTGTCCTGGGCACTGCGCTCTTGCTCTTAGCTTCTGTCACGTCATGAGCAGCTGGAGCCGAGCTGTCCCTGTGCCTGGCAGCCACGGCACAGGGCAGAACAGCTTTCCTCATTTTCTCAGTCAGACTTTTTTGGGTAGGTTTGGATGGGAATGGCTGGAGAGCTCTCATGGGGACTTGGCACTGAGCTTTGTTGCTGCTTGGCAGCCCCTTTGAACCTCCTGTTCCACATCAAACCCGACCTGATGGAGGAGAGGAACGAGTTCTTGTGAGATTAGTGAAAACAGGGAGCTTGGGAGCAGCTAACACACCCTGATCCCTGCAGCCATGCAGGGGGGACACTGTGCATCCCTGCCCCTTGTGGGGTGGGCAACATCCCCCACAGGACTGCAGCAGGGGGTGGCAAATCTGTCGGAACCAGGCCTGTTAGTTTTATTGCTGACTCCTCAGCTTGTCTTTCCAGGGATGTTTGGCTCCCTCCAGCACTGCTGCCCCTTAAACTGGCCCACATCCCTGACCGTCCCTACTCCCTCTCCAATCCATCACTTTGCTACTTCACATGTCTCCTCCCTGCCGTGACATTTCTGGGGTCAGAGCTGGGTGCTCTCCTCTGCTGGATGTGCTGGGCTCTGCTGGTGGCTGGTGGGGACTGTGCTGTGGGAATTTGGAGCCTGTTCCCATGGCCTGCAGGAGCCTGCCACCCGCCTCCCTGGCTCCATGATGGCTGTGCTCTGCATAGGGGCTTTGCGTTGGGAGCAGGGCAGGGTACTCTGTGAGAAGAGCTGATGCTGCAGCTCTTCCTCCCCTTCTCTGTGCCCAAATCCCAAATTTGGGTAAAGGAGAAGTACATCTGCTTCCTGAATGGCGGAAGCTCTAGTGTGTGTCTGCTCAAGCACCTCAGGGTCAAGTATGGTTTTGTTTAAAGAAAGCAACTAAAATAAACTCAGGGAGGGGCTCCCAGGAGGTCACTGTGCTCCTTCTCTCCCTGACCCAGCATGGGTCCCCTCTTCCTGGAGGGCATTTGGCAAGTTTGCATTTTTTTGCTTGTGTTGTTGACAAAAATCCTGTCTGGTTGAGAAATATCTGTGCAGCAGCGCCAGCCCAGTCCCACGGGTCAAATCCTGCCCCTGTAAATCTGTGCCGGGAACAGTGGCTTGTTTTGGGCTGCCCTTTGGGGGTGCTGCCACAGGGGACCCGTGTCCTTGCAGGGCAGTCCAGGCACGGGGCCAGGAGCAAACTCCTCGAACAAATGGATGGACAGATGGACACTATGGGCTTAGGGTGGATCTGATGTTTTAACATTTGCTGGTTGGGCTCTGCAGCAGAAGCAAAGTGCTGGAAGTTCGTCAAGGACTGAATTAAAGTTGCCTGGCAACCTCCATCCCGGCTCCTCTTCCCACATCTCGCAGGATTTCCCACCCAAGGTCTGCCGCCTCCAGGGAAGTGGGGCCCGAAATGCATTGCGCTCGCATCCAGGCTGGGGCTAGGCTTGTCTCCCATCCCTGGATGGCTCCTTTCCCATAACTTACTGACTGTTCCCACGCCTGGGAGCTGGGAGCTCACCCCACCTCATCCCCTGGGGCAGGTGCCTTTCCCTTAGCCCTCCAGGAATGGGTCGGGCTGTTTCAGCTGAACCCGAGGGCAACTTGAGTGGGTCTCCTGGAGGGTAGAACAGTTCAGTGACAGTGGGAATGTGAGTGGCTGCAGGGGGATGTGCCAGACTTGGCCCCTGTGAGTAGAGTGGGATTGGCTGCATAGTGTTTGGAATGTCCAGGCTGGGCTGCCATAAAAAGGCAGAGTGCAGTTGGTGTCTTTTGGTGCAGTCCCTGATGGAGATTTTGTTAAGACTGTTTTGCAGCTCCATAACACAGAGAAGACCCGCTGAAAATCCCTGTCTCCTACTGGGAAACTGGCAGTGCATGTAGTAGTCTGTGATGCAGAGGGGAACAGCCCATGAGAGAGGAGGAATGTCCAGCAGCCACTCTGGGAGCCTGCATAGGCTTTACTAGATCTTGGTGGAACAACTACAAGCTGTCTAGGAAGGGGTGGGATGGGGAGGTGTCTTATCCTGCCCTGCAAATCTGTCCTGCCATCCAGAATGGATGCTGAGGGTAAGCTGGGAAAGTACTGCTCTCACCCACCACTTCCATTCTTTCTCCTAAGTTCCTCTGAAATTAAAAAGCTGGCATGATTTTTAGTTGTGCTGATGAGGAAACATCCATGGGCAGCCTGTAAGACCCCATCTGTGGTCTCTCCATGTTTGCCAGCTCCACAGACAGCACAGCTTCCCTGCACTGCAGCTTGCAAACAGCTTGTGCTCCCAGGTTTTGCTGCCTTGTGACTTTGAGGGCCAGGGGGCAGTGGGAAAGGGCTCCTATGCCCACAGAATGTCCTGCTGCAGTGGCTATTGAGGTGTTTGACAGCTTTGGCCAGTTTCTTTGGCCAGATCTGAGCTAGTGAGACTGTGAAATTCATTCATCAAAAGCTTTTTGCTCCTCCAGAGATGCTGGTCACAGGGATTTTAAGGAGGTGCCGACTGGGCCAGCCCGTTTGGGTGTGCTGTGCCGGCTGGCTGGCGGTGGGAGGCTGAGGCCGGCACAGTCATGCTCACACAGCTTCCGTCGTGACCCAGTAAACCCAGTCAGACCTGACCGGGGCTCGCTCGCTGCCCTGGGTGCTCACCCACGCCTGCACGCCTCTGCCGCCCCACTGCTTTCCTGCCTTCCCCAGGGACCGGCAAACACATCCCACTGCTGAGAGATGGTACCTGCTCCAGGCTGGGACCTGTGGCTGAAGCCCGTAGGATCACTGATAGCCAGTGGTAGGAGGGTGGATGTTACACGTTGTGAGTAGAGCAGCTGGTTCCTGGCTTTGCCCCCCTCGGGGTATCTGTCAGCCCTGTGGTCCTGCATCCACCACCCTGCTTCTTCAGTGTCGCCGGCTGGTGTGAGAGCTGAGGCTGGACAGTCAGGTCCCATGTTGGCCCCCCCATGCTGGGGAGTAGGTGAGGTGCCAAGGGACTTGGGAGGTCACTCCTGGGGAGGGGGCGGGCTTTTCTGGGCAATTTTTCTCCTAAATTCCTAGTTTCATTGGAGCTGCTGCTGCTTTTCAGCCTCTTCCTCTCCCCTTTTTGTTTCCCTCCTCCAGAGAAAACTCTGTGGCATTTCCATTCTCAGCTTTTTTCCATTTCTTGTTGAAGTGCTGGACTTGAGTAATCCATCTGCCCCCAGCCCTCATGGTGGGTCCCACATGTCAAAACCTTCTCTGCTTCCTCCCTGAGCCCTTGACTTCACCCTGAGCTTAGAACTTGCACCCTGACAAGAGGGAAGTGATGGGTTTGGGGGTGTTTGGTGTGGCTGCAAGACCAGGGTATTGACCTGAGGGGAGACAAGGATTGTTTCAGTTCCTTCTTGCTTTTTCTCCCCCACCCTAGGTATGAAAAATAAAAACCAGAAAATAAATTAAAAAAAAAAAATAGGGAAGCTTGGAACAGCCCTTCTCTTTGAGTAAAATATTAACTGGCTCTTACGGCGTAACTGATTAAATTTTCTTTAGGACAAAGTTACATCTGATCTTGGGCAAAGAAGCCTTTGGAAATGGGTGTAGCTGCTTCCCTGGAAAAAGCAGAAGAGCCCAGCCCTCACAGCATGGGAGGCTTCTCCCCCCTGCCCAGCCAGGAACCCTGCACAACCTCCCAATTTAATTTATTCTTGTTTTCCCCCTGTACTGTCTTGGTGTGTGTGATGGTTAAATGTTAGCTGGGGCTGGCTCACAGCACCATGCTGGCCCTGTGATAAACACTATCCCTGCTGCCCTGCCCGGCCACACTCCCTGCTCCTGTCCCCAGCACGTTGGGAGCCAAGCAGCAGGCAAAGTTCAGGGCTTGTTTGTGCAGGGGAGATAAGGTGAGGACGCCCAGCAGCGTGCAGGGCTGTTACTCATTTATGAGAGATCATTGTTTGCCTTGTCGTAAGGAGATTTCTCCTCCACTCTGCTTTCCTATCCCAGGTGCAGCAGCTCTTGTGGCTTGTGCATGATTCCAGACTCGTGTCCCCATGTGGAGGCTTGGGGAAGAGTCCCTGTAACTTCCAGAGTGGCCCTGCTCCCACTGGTGGGATGGCAAGCTGTCAGCATAGGGCTGGCCATGGTACTTTGGTGCTCCAGGTGTGACCCCATCACTTTGCCCAAAGCTTGGTGGGTTTGGCTCATGCTAGACATGGTGTAACCAAAACAAATTCTTTCTTTTTGATGTCCATCTGCACTCACCTGCCTTGCATTGCTGTGCTGTCATTCATGGGCAGACCCTCTCTCTGTACAGGGCTTGTCCTGGAAACAGGAATAACATGGAGTGAGCCTGCTCTGGGATCTGCTCCCCAAGGAGCTCAGTCCTGCATGCAGCACCCTGCCTGCACCCAGGGTTGGAAGCCCTTGGGTGCTCTGTGCAGGTCTCGAGCCTAGGGGACAGTGGGGCAGCAGGGAGAAACATTTCCCATCTGCCTCATTCCCGGAATGCTCTGGGGCAGCAGCCTCTGCAGGTGTGAGGTGTGCAGGTCTGAAACCCCTCGAATGAACCAGCACTTTAATGCAAGCTCCAGAACTGTGTCTGAATCCACATCCAGCCCCTCACTTTTCCTTTTCAGCCCTGAAGCCCTTTTCACTTTGGTTTTATCTCCCCTCTTCCTGGGACTCAGCAAATTATTTGCTTCAGGGAAATTGTCTGCATTGAACATGTTTGAGCAGCTTCTCTACAGGGTCAGGTATTTGTTTTATATATATATATATATAAACCTCTAAGCAAATATGTAGGTGCTGGTTACTTACGGGGGGCTCTCTGGCTCAGAGACACCCAGTCATCTTTTTCCTCCATAATGCCTGCAAGATGAGTAAGTGGCTTTGCTCAGTGCAGCTGGGCGAAGTGGGGGTTATTTGTGAGGGATTGAATGCATGGAAGTGAGAGCCAAAGTAGATGCAGAGCTTCAAGGCAGCTTGGGATGAAAGAGAAACTGAAATCTCGTGGAAAAACACTGTGGGGAAAAATTGTTTCCGCTTGAAAAGACTTGCCGAAGATTCCAAGCAGTTCCTATATGGATTTTCCTTCACCTTTAGTCCCTGAGTGCCTGAAGCACCCTTCCCAATGCCTCAGTCCTCTGGAGTCTCATCATTTCAGGAGGGCAAAACAGGGTCAAGTATCTTGCACAGCAGGACATGGTCAGCTGGGCTTTTGGGAAGGAGAGGAGACCTTGGGCTCCCCAGGACCCTTACTGTGGCCATTCATTCCTGCTGCAGCCACAGTGGGGAATGAGTCTTGGGGTACCCCAATGTGCCAAGAGACCCACAGAGGGACTTGGCCCTGAGCCCCTTTCTCTGTTTTTAAAGGCTTTTTGGGTGTGAAATGCAATGGGGGATCAGCTGGCTCTGCTGAAACATATCCTTCAGTCAGGGGGATCTGCAGGAGCAAAAGGCTAGGAGTGAATGAGAGATGAACCCAGAGAAGACCTGGAGGAAAATGACCCAAGTGGTCAGCAAGCAACTCCCTGCTGTGACAGAATGGTTGCTGACCCAGGAGCATGCTGCAGAAGGTCACTGTGCTCAAACTCCCCTCCATGCTCTGTGCCTTGTGCTGTGCCTTAGTTTCCCCTTTAGCAAACAAGGGTTTGTTTTTCCCTGAAGCCATCCCTGGCCTGAGGCCGTGCTGGGTCAAGCATCCATGTGTGTATGCAGCTGGCTCCTTCCCAAGCCTGCTTGCTTGTGAGGTGCTGGGGCAGCAGGAGTGTCTGACCCGGTGCTCTGTGTTTCAGGAGGGTTTGGTGGCCAGCCCTGTCCCCGAGAGCTGGAGAGCCCGTGCCGAGGATTGGCTGTGCCGGCCTGGCAGCAGCGCCTGAGGCGGCTGCCCTTGCCGAGAGAGCAGGAAGATGAGTGGAGCTCCGGCACATCTCCTGACAACTCTCTTCATGGCAGCGGCAGCCGTGGGCTACCATCGCTCTGCCACCGACCTGGATGCCACCCCCAGGACAACGGTCTCCTTTGATGGTAAGGGGGTGTGGGTCCTGGTGCTGGCAGTGAGGTTTGGATTTTGCTGACACTGGCCTTGGTGCGTTGTGACTGCATCTAGTCTTTGCCACCCCCCTGGAGCAGAGGCGTCAGCATGAGAGGGTGGCTACATGGGGGCCTCTGATCCCCTGGCTTCCAGAAATCAGAGCCCACATGGCTGGGCCCCAAAGAAGTGAGCATAGCAAAATCATCTCAAAAGCCAGAGGGGGACAAGGATTTACAGGGAGCCAGCCCTGACCAACCCCTGGCCCTGCCCAGCAGCCCTTGGAGGATGTCCTGAGCTGGAATTTGCATCTGGGCTGGGATCTCATGGCCCAAATAGTCAGCAGGAAACTTTCTTCCATGATTTTCTCTAATTGCCACTGGGCTCTTGACCTCCAGCCTCTGTGGTGTCAGTGAGCCCAGCAGTGTCATCATTCCTTGGGGATCCACATGGCATCATTGACCTCATTAGTGAGGCTCAATTCAGCAATTGATGGTGGGAGAGTTTCATTAACAGCTGGGGTGCCTTTTTCTCTCCAGGCAGTGCCTCTTTTCTGGGAAAGGTGGGGAATCATTCCTTTTCCAGCTGCCTACAGGGTCCCAAGCCTCATAGAATCTTCACTTCCTTCTGGTCCCTCTGACCAGGGCTGAGTCCTGTCTCACACTTGTCAGCATGCCAGATTGGTTGGTTGCACTGGCTTGGTGGGCAGGAGCATTCAGCCTCACTGCAGAATCACTCCCCTTGTATGACAGTTTTGGTTCAGGTTTTTTTATCCTTCCCTTTGGGCTGGCTCAGTTCAGAGCCAGGGTCACTGCTGGCATGTTTCTGCTTTCTTCAGCATTTTCCCAAACAACGTAGCAGGTCTGTGCCCAGCACAGACATTACAGCTCCCACCCCTGAGCTGTGCTTCAATTAGTGGAGAGAGATTTCCTCTGTGAGCCTGAGCCTAATTAGTGCCTTTTGCCTTTTACCAAACCTCCTTCCTTCCTTTCCTCCTGCTGTAACTGCTGTCACCAAGCACTCTCTGACTGATAACCTCAGTAAGTGCCATCCCACCCACTTCCAGCTCCATTCTCTTGTCTTTTCCCAGTGGCTCGCGCTGTGCCTGCCCCGGGCTCTCTCTCAGCCCCCTGTTCCCTTTGCAGAGCTGTCGGGAGTCCGGCACTTCAATGCACACACCCTCAACTACAGCACCCTGCTGCTGGAGGACGACCGGGGCATCCTCTACGTGGGCGCCAGGGGAGCCATCTTCGCCCTCAACTCCAGTGACGTGGCCGACGGCTCCCACCACACGGTGAGCCTGGCCTCTGCCGGCTGGTTGTCCTCTCCTGTCCCACACTGCCCAATCCCCATCCAAACTGTGGCCACTCCATGCCTGCGCAACCTCCCCCTCGCTGTCTTGGGGTGGAGCCTGGAGGCTTGCCTAGAGGTGATGTCTCTGAGTCTGTCCCCAGGTCGCCTGTGGATACCTGGTCCTTCTCCCCATCCAGGCAACATGGGGATAGTGGTGGGAGAAATCCCCAGGCTCAAAGCTGCCTGCTCCAGGAACAGCCCAGCAGAATGAGGGGCAGAGAGGGAATCAGACTTTTTTGCTCCCCCAGGGAAGGATATCCCAAAATCCTCAAGGCTCGTGCAGTGCTCTGGGATGTCTGCCCACTGGCTGGGGTGTGGGACCACTCTTGCTGCAGGCTGGTGGGATGTGTGCAGGGTGCTATCCTGTGCTCTGAGCAGCCGTCCCTCGCTAAATAAATAAGGATTTTATTATCTGTGGCTGTGATGAAAGCTGGAGCTTGCAGTGACAGGGGGACCATGCAGTGATAGGGATCATGCAGTAGCAGTCTCTCTCTTCCCCTTGCAGATCCACTGGGAAGCCTCCCCTGAGAAGCAGATGGACTGCCTGCAGAAGGGCAAAAACAACAAGGTAGAGGTGCTGGGTGGGTGCCAGGGAGGGGCTGCCCCCGCTTTTCCCAGCTTGTAACACCTGCGCTCGCCCTCCGCAGACCGAGTGCTTCAACCACGTGCGGTTCCTGCAGCGGCTGAACAGCACCCACCTGTACGCCTGTGGGACCTACGCCTTCCACCCGCTCTGTGCCGCCATCGTGAGTACGGCTCACCCACAGCTGCCACCTGTCCCCTGCCACTATGTCACCCTGGAGAGGTGCAGCCCCTGTCCTCTCCCACATCTCAACCCACAGCCCCGCTCCCTTTCTATTGCTGCCCCCGCCCCTCCCTGGCTCACAGTGGGGGTGAGTGACTCCCAGGCTGGGGTGAGTAGGTTTGAGGATGTAGCCACCATGATGCAGATGCCATTAGTCCCCACCCCAGCACTGGGGTTGGACTCTGACCCCAAGAGAGAGGGCTGGGGATGGATCAGTGCCGTAGGGGATGCACATGGGCTCAGCAGGATGGGTTGCTCCTGCCCTGGACCTGGTCTCCAGTGCCTGCTGTTGCAGAATCCCTTCCCAGAGGAGGGGCTGCAGTGTGGCTGATGGCAGGTGGTATGCATGCACAGGGGAGGGTGACAGGGGCAGGACTGACTCAGCAGCCCCTCCCCAGGGATATCCTGTGCCAGTCTGAGAGTCCCCACATGGCTGTGACTCATGGCAGAGTTTCCAAGAAGAGCCTAGTTTTACTGGCAATGGGACTTTGACCCCCTTTCAGTAGCTCCTTGAGTCAACGGAGACTCAGTTGCTATTTGCCCACCTCCCTTCCTTAGCGTGAGGGCAAAGGCCCCTGGACCATGTCTGCATTGTGGCCAGGGAGCCCTGGAGAGGCTGTGCCTGTTCCCATGGCTGTGCTACTGGTCCGGTTTGGCCATTGCACACACTGGAAATTGGGTGGAGGAGCTGCCAAGCTGGAAGGGCCCCATCATTATTTGACATGCTTTGAACTGCAAGCCCCAAAGAAAGTAACTCCTGCCATGACATGGACAGCACCTGTGGGGACCCCAGGCTACCTGAACAACGTCTGCCAACCAGGCACTGTCTGGGAATATTGGCTGCACTGGTTGACTCCTGCCCAGTGCCCATTCAATGCCCAACTGGGCCCCCCTTCCTCCCAGAACCCTCTACCCACTCTTGGCTGGGGGCTGTGGCTGGCTGTGTGGTTTCTGACCAGTTGGAGGCTGCCAGGGGGCTTTGTCTTACTTTGACAAGGGCATGGCTGTGGACATCACTTTGTCCCTGTTAGCAGCCTCTGCAGAGAGCCTGAGGCTGACAGGTGAGGTGGGTCTGTCTCTTCTGTCTAACCCAATTCCCTGTCCCCCTCAAGGATGCAAACAGGTTCATGTTGCCGTCCCACTTTGAGGAAGGCAAGGAGAAGTGTCCATATGACCCTGCCCGTGGCTACACCGGCCTCATTGTGGGTAAGCAGCACCTTTCCAGTGCTGGTGGGTATGTAGGGTACCATGGCCCCATCCCCAACACCCCTCCAGGGGGTGCCAGCCAGATGGGTTCCCTGTGCAGAGGTCTTAGCAAATCAGGACTTGGTCCTCCCCCTACTCGTCTGCCTGGGGCATGGGGATGCTGCTGGCCTGTGGGGCTGTCCTCAGGCTGCAGGGCCATGCTGATGGGCACCCACCCTGCACAGACGGAGGCTTGTACACAGCAACACGCTACGAGTTTCGGAGCCTCCCTGACATTCGGAGGAACCTGCACCAGAGGCCACTGAAAACAGAGGAGTCCCCGCTGCACTGGCTGAATGGTGAGATGTCCCCGTCCCCCCCATCTTGTGGCTGCCATCATGGGCTGTGGGACACTGTGCATTGCCCTGGAGAGTGTGGAGCAGGTGTGGGGAGTGGCTCTGGAGTCCTGTGTGGTTTGCTATGAGAAGGAACTAAGGCAGGGAGGGATTCTCCATTCTGTGTTGGTCTCTAATCACCACCTCTTACTCCATGTCCCCAGATGCCGAGTTTGTGACCTCTGTGCTGGTCCGGGAGAGCAAGGACAGCCCTGTGGGTGATGATGATAAAATCTACTACTTCTTCATGGAGCGGGCAGGAGAGGAGACCACATCCTTCTTTGACAAGAGTCAGGTGGCCCGAGTGGCACGGGTGGCCCGCGTCTGTAAGGTAGGCATGTTCCCAGCCACAGGGAGCCAGGCACTGTTCCTCTTGGTGCAAGGGGAGCATGCCTCCACCTGTGGGAAGACAGGCACAGGAAGAGGGGAATGAACACCCATCCAGCCTGTGCAGAAATGCTCTCTTCACCCTCCCAGAGTGATGTTGGGGGCAAGAAGATTCTGCAGCGCAAATGGACGTCCTTCATGAAGGCACGCCTGGTCTGCTACATCCCCTACTACGAGGTGCTGCGCAGTGTCTGCAGCCTGGATGGGGGCAACTGGGCCAGCACTGTCTTCTATGCTGCCTTCACACTCTCAGCACAGTGGTGAGTGGGGCAGTGGCCAAAATGATTTGGGCTAAAAGTCTGCAGCACCAGGGGAGCCAGAGATGCTCAAGGGGACGAACAGGCAGGTGCTGAGCATTGGTTGGGAGTGTCCAGGCTTAGGTGAGGTTCTGCCCCTCAGGAGGACCATGGAGGCCTCAGCTGTGTGCCGCTACAACATCTCGGCAGTGCAGCGTGCCTTTGAGGGCCCCTACATGGAGTACCAGGATTGGGCTCGCAAATGGTCCCGCTACGACGGTGCAGTGCCCGAGCCCCGGCCCGGCTCCGTGAGTGCCCAGGAGTGCAAAGCAGGGGGGAAAAGGGCAGCTGCCTTCCTCTCTGACCCCTGTTTCCCCTGCAGTGCATCACGGACCACTCCCGCAGGAAGGGCTACAACTCCTCGCAGGACCTGCCCAACAGTGTCCTGGACTTTGTCAAGCTGCACCCGCTCATGTTTGAGGAGGTGAAGCCAGCCGGCGGGGAGCCGCTCCTGGTGAAGAAGAACGTGGTGTACAGCCAGCTGGCTGTAGACAGGGTGCAGGCCCTGGACGGCCGCTCATACGATGTGCTCTTCATGGGGACGGGTGAGTGTGAGATGAGTTTGACAGGCCTCTGCTGGGCAAAGGGCACACCTCACATTCCCTCCTGAATCCCCTGCTCTGCTTTCCAGGGGATGGCTGGATCCACAAGGCTGTGGTGGTGAACTCTGGCATCCACATTGTGGAGGAGGTGCAGGTGTTCAGGGACCTGCAGCCTGTGGAGAGCCTGGTGATCTCCCACAATCAGGTGAGGGGTGGAACAAGTAGGGGGTCACCACACACGGGGCATGCTTGTGCTGTGAAGCTGACATTGCGCTGTTTGGGAGGCTGGGGAAATGACTCCTGGGTCACCCCAGCTCGGGATATGTGCTGGAGCCCAGGAGGGTAGCCTGGGGAAACGGATCAGCCTGGCCATCAGCACTGACTGTGAGCTGAGGGCCCTTCTTGTGCACACCCATGAAGGGACAGCTGTGCTGTGGAGCTGGGGGGGATCTCTGGGCACCATGGGACACTCCACAGACCAGCAGCATCATGCTAGATCCATACTAAGCCAGCCCTTTTCCCCTCAGAGGAGCCTGTATGTGGGAGCAGCCAGCGGGATTGTGCAGGTGCCCCTGGCCTCCTGTGCCAGGTATGCCTCCTGCTATGACTGCATCCTTGCCCGGGACCCCTACTGTGCCTGGGATGGCAGGGCATGCCGCACCTTCGCCACCACAGACAGGTAGGGATGGATTGCCTGATCCCAGATGGGTCCCCATGAACATTCCACTTGCCCTATCCCACACGCTTTCACATCACCTTGTCACAGTCACCCCAGAGCCAGCCCCAAAGGTCTGGTATCTGACACTGGGTCTCCTGGTGGCTGTGACCCCCGTAAGGGTGGGCTCAGCTGAGGCTGTACGGCTGAGCCCCCCCATGCCTTGCAGCTCAGGGCTGGTGCAGGACATTCAAAGTGGCAACAAGGGATGCCGGAGCAGCTCTGGACGGGGTGAGTCTCTGCTGCCCCTCGGGACCAAGGTGATGCTGGTGTCCAGCATTCCTTGGAATGGCTGGGAGAGGTGCAAGGCAGTGCGTGTCCCCACAGGTTCCCTGCTGTGGAAGAACCGGACAGTGCTGCAGGGGGACGATGTGCTGCTGCCCTGTGACCAGCGCTCCAACCTGGCCCGAGCTGTGTGGCTGCTGAACGGCAGCGAAGTGCTGGGCACGGGGCAGGACCGGCTGCGTGTGGGGGTGGATGGGCTGCTGGTGACGGACACGCTGCCCCAGCACAGCGGCGAGTACCGCTGCTACGGGGAGGAGCAGGGTCTCCGGACACTGCTGGCTGCCTACAGCCTCACCGTGCTGCCCGAGCTGCCCCGCAGCCCTACGGCTGCCCCATCGCCTCATGCTGCCAGCCAGGCAACCAATGACACAAAGGTGGCTTACATCTCCGCCATCGTCACCTTGGTGGTGCTCTGCACCGTGCTCAGCACCATCCTCCTGTACATGTCTTGCTTGGAGAAGCGCAAGGGCAAGTACGTGCTGGGGGAGCCGCGGCCAGCCAGCGTGGAGCTGCAGACCGTCTCAGCCAACTGCCTGCGCAAGGGCCACCGAGAGGAGGAGGAGGAAGAGCTCACCTACCCTGATGGCTGCCTGCGGATCATCCCTGGCGAGGCACCCACAGCTGCCACCTCCCCAGTCAAGGAGCTGCCGGCTGCCGTGCCCCCAGTGCCGCCCCCACTGCCGACCGAGCTCACCAACGGTGTGGGGGCTCTGCCCAATGTCCTCCGCAAGATGAATGGCAACAGCTACATGCTGCTGCAGCAGCAGGAGGAGCCACTGGCCTCCCCACTCTACAGTGCATCCTTCACCGAGGAGCTCAGCAAAATTTTGGAGAAGCGAAAACACACGCAACTGGTGGAAAAGCTGGACGAGAGCTCCGTGTAGGGGCTGGGGAGGGGGGTCCTGCCAGTGGGACCCTCCTCCCCTCCAGCCCCTTTTCCCACCCTTTGCCAGCAGTGTTACAAGACTCAGGCAAAACTACCTCCTGGATGGCAGAGCTGGGCCGGGCCCGGGCTCGGCCACTCCTTTGGCTTTTCATTCACTTTTAAGACTCGCTGTACAGAAAAAAAGTATCTATTTAAATTTGGAGCTCTATTTATGTATAAAAACTCACTGACGGTGGCCACGAGCTGGAGACAGGAGCTGGCACCTGGCTGAAGGTGGACACCATGGGAAAGGAGAGTTTTTGTCTGTTCATCCAGGCGTGAGAGACACTGTTGTGGGTGTGTGGACTTGGCCAGCCCTGATGGGCATCTTTTGGCACACAGGAGCTGGACAGCTGCGGAGAGGTGGGTGAAGAGCAAGGAGGGGGGCTGAGGGCTGACATACTGTGTCTGTGCATCTCACAGGGCACAGGATCCCTACCCAATGTAGGGCTGGCAGAGTTTCCCCAGCTGCCGGCCCTAAGGCATGAGAGGGGCCCTGGACACATCTCACCTTGTGAGGGGTGGTCTCAGTGGCTTCCAGCCTCTGCCCACTGTCCCACATCTGCCCCCTCAGGGTATCCCCTCTGGGAGAGGATGGTTTGGCGAGGGACAAGAGATAGGGAGAGGAGCTGATGTCCTGAATACCCTGGAGCAGCTGGTGAAGGGGCATGTGCCCACTTCGAAGAGGCCACAGGTGAAATACAGAGCTGGGTGCCCTGGGGAGGTGGCACCCCCAGGGCCTCCAACCCTGACAGGGCTCTGCTTCCTTTCCCTAGGGCAGTGGATGCAGCAGCAGAGAGCAAGATGCACTGGCAGTAGGACTGGCAGCCACCACCGTGCCCTACAGCGTGACAAGGGACCAGTGCACCATCCACATGCCTGTGGTATCTGCAGTGCCCCTGTGACTCCAAGCACAAAGCGTCTCTGCCCTCCTGTGCAGTGCTGCTGGTGAACTGGGGTTCAGGCACAGCCCTGTCACCCACGGGAAAATGCGTGGGCAGGGAAATGTCCTCACACAGTGAGAAAGAACCTTGGACAAGGGCCTGCCTCCCTCTGGAGCCTTCTCTCATGGCACTTTCCAGGAGAAGCCATGGTCCCTAAATCCTCTCAACTGTTTCTGCTTCTGCCACCTCCTGGGGGAACCTGAGAGACAGGGGTGACAAAAGCATCTGATGCTCCAGGGACAGTGTGGTGACACTGGAGAAGCTGGGGAGGGACACGTCCTCCCTGTGTTCCTTGCTCGTACCTCCATGACCAGGACGTTGCCAAGGGCTCAGCTCTGCAGGGGAAACAGGAGAGGGGTGAAAACCCCTGGGGTCCCTCATGAGCTACAGCTCAGGCCTCCAACTCCAGGAGAGTGAGGCTTAGCAGGAAAAGGCAAGAGTTGCACACTCTGCCACCCTGCCCCAGCCCTTGTTTTTGCTGCAAGGGGGCGTGAGCCACCCCCAAGGACTACCCCAAGGACCACCCCCAATGCCCAAGGAGGGGCATCACTCTGTGTCTGGCACTCCTCATGCACAGCTCCCCATTCCCCCCAGCAATAAAAATGGCTCTGTCTGGACGTGGTGTAGCAGTGTCCTTCTAAAGGCAGGAGAAATGGATGCAGAGACGTGGGGTTGGAGGAGGCTTTACTGGGGCTGCAGGCGTGGGCCCTGGACGGTGAGGATGGAGGGTTTGTTGGTGAGGGGGTGCCACTGGCCCTGGACACTGGGGTTGTCGGTGTGGAAGGGCTTGCGGATGCGGATGATGTCCAGGCCGGACTGGTTGGCCATCTTGGTGGCCAGCTGCACGATCTCCTCGCTCGTCTTGCTGGCAATGAGCTCCTCCCGCACCGTCCCGTTCACTGCAGCAGAGCGAGGGCGTCAGGCCGGGATCCCCCCTCTCTGCAGCCTCCGAGGGACAGCTGCCCCGGCACCGTCTGCAGAGCCGGGATAGGGCAGGGAGACCCCCACCCCCTCCCCAAACCCCCAGCACTCACAGTACTCGGCCCGCAG